CCTGAGGCCAGTTGAAAGCTCTTCTGGCACGCCCAAGGTGGGCTCGGTCCAAGCAATCGCTTCAAGGAGCCCGGCCCTGTTTGGATCGGGGGTGGGCGGAGGGGCGGGTGACTCGAGCTGCCAATGTGAGTCCAACGAGAGTGCTTCCGAGCGAGCCGCCAGCCGGGTCAGAGTGGTTGACAGTTCTTTAGCGAGAGGCTTTTTCCGACTACTGGGGTGGCTCTAATGGGACTGTCACCTTCTAATTGTCCGACCGGGAACGCCGGGATTGACGCGCACGCGCCCTGGCCGAGATGTGCACCAAAGGCTCCGTTTTCACATCTTTGTTCCGGCTTCAATTCATTCAGGAAACGTATCGTTCGTAGCAATTCTACGGGCCCACGGCGTATTATCACAGCCAGCGTTGGTGCATTTAAAACATTTTTTTTAAACTCAATCACAATTGAACAATGGCATCAGTTTTTGAGAATGAGAGACACGTGCACTTTTGTCAAAGTGAAATTATTGAAATGGATGACGTGGTGATGTCTGGCTCGCCGCCCGGGCCGCAACGATACGGGGGCCGCAAATAGATCAACCAGCGGGCCGGATGCCGACCGCAGAGCGCCTATTGAGTACCCCTGGTCTAGACAATATCGATTTGACAAACGAACGGTTCACTCGGAGTCGCAGATTTTTATTGAAATAATGAAACGTCAACAGAATGACTTCTAGGAAGAAATGCCATATTTTGTTTGTGTTTGTCTGCGCTCGAAAAAAGCCAATTGATCAGTCGGGAGTATTGGTGCAATTCTTTCAATACAAACAAAGACAAATGAAAGGAGCCAATACGACTAACCTTCCTCAGACTCAGCATCTGTGGATTTGATTTTCCATTTCGCGACGTCTAAAAAGACCTTTGTTCTGAAATGTTACCGTCGATTGTTCTCCTGAGAGTTGCTCATTACGGCGTGCGAGAGGAACGATCATCCCACAGCGTTGATTTGTAATGTAATGTAATCGTTCGCAATTGTCTTCCATCCTAGAGGGAGGCAACAGACGAGAGGGAGACGCCAACTTTAAAAGGAACGTTGGCAAAGCGTTTTGTACTTCACGAAAAAGGGAAGCGGCACCGCCCCCCCCTGGATTCGTCGTGGGGCAACGCAGGTACGGTGCTGTGCTTTTAAGGAAGCAAACGCCCCCATTCTTGAAACGACTTTATACCGAAGCCATCGGGTGACAGGCGAATTGTTCAAACCCTTTTGTCGAGGAATTGCGCGCGGGAGCGTGTCCTCTTCGCGAGAAAGAGGAGCAAAATCGGAGCAACTATTCCTGGAAACCTTGTTAAGCGTGCATGAGTCAGCGCGAACGGCACAGATTCTGGGACAACGGAGTCGGGAGGGAATGCAAATTGGGCCCTGTCCTCATTCCAACCTTGAAAGAAATTGTCAACAAACTATCATCTTGAACAGAAAAACTCAACTCGGTCTGATTTTCGGTCACAAACGGAGAGCGAGAGACCGCACATTTGAGTGGCTTATATGGTTGAACGGAAGTAGGCGCGCTCCTCGGAAAAAGAAATCTCGTTGAATTGACTCTGTTTTATTGTCTCAAGTGTCGGCAGGAAATAATGTCATCCGGATCTACACGCATCCATTTTTTTTTCCTGGGATCTAGATGATTTTTGCGTCACCACTTGACAACATAAACAAATTCCAAACACCTTTTTTGCATCGATGGCTTCAAATGGGGAATTTGAGGCCGAATGGTGAAGCAAAGGGCAATGAAAGTGTTTTGGTGAGTTTTTCCCTTTGACCTGATTTCGAAAGAATACCCCAAAATGATTCATTCCCCCCCACCTCCCCAAAAAAGTCCGTTTTTCCACAGATTGTCCCGATTGGACGTATGGCTAGCTGGGGGCCTAAACCGGCTGACTTGAGATATTTAGATGGGGCGCACCCCAAACTGGTCGCCAGTCACGATCGCTGGATTTGTTTTTCCTTTTTTGAAGTATGCATCATAGATAAAAAGTGACTCGACATTTTTGATCGCTACGAGCTCGGGTGTAATCCTCTGTGCAAAATGACATTTTATATTCTGAATAAGATAAGACTGTTCTGCAAAGTGTGTGCTGAGTGTTCACTGCGAACGCTCAAGCTGCCCTGCGCAACGAGCCCTGCGGTTTGGCCAGGAAAAAAAACAAAAAACAAAACCTTTGTTTCCTCTCTTCAAGTGTTGAGTGCCAGCGTATGCTTGAGCCAATCTTTGCTTGCGCTTGCGTTTGCCTTTGACGGAATGTCGCCAAATGAGGAAGCCGTTGTTGTGCGGGTGACCCCTTTCGCCCCCTCGTGCTTCTCGCGCTGTCGTTTGAGAGCACAATCGTAATGAGGGAACACGAAACCGTGTTGTTGCTCTCCCACTCACCTGAAAACCTTGCATTTTATTTGATTTTTTTTTCCCCCTTCCAAAGTGTGACAGCGTGATCAAAGTCGTGCTTGATAGAGAGCATCGCTGCAGTTCAATTTGGCTCTCGGTGAAGGCACGGTCGCGCACAGCATTCTGGCAAAGGAAAATGTCCCAATCCCATCCTCCTATCATCTTTCCTTTGATTGGGGGAAGCAAAATGTTTTCAAAAGCCTTCAAAAAATGTTGTGCGATTGTTTCCAGGGGATTGATCGTCTCCCCGGCTCTGGTCGGGAAAAAATTTGAAATGCAAGTGGGATCTTTTGACCGCATCCAAGTACCTTCCATCAGTTTTGGCCCATCACTAGCATTGAGTGGCATGGCATCCCCAGCTACTGTACATCCACAAATGATCCGGACATCGCAGATTTATGCCTATAGGATAGCAAGTAAAGGCCAAAGCAAGTAAAAGATGGCATCCAAGGTCGAAGTGTTGCTCTTGGCGATATCACAGAGCGAGCCGGCTCAAGCACCAAATGCGTACTGCGCTTTCCTTGGGATGCTGACTTGCAGAGGGAGATGACGATTGAGCTTAACACAGCGATTTCATTTCTATAGCACCGGGCATTCTTTCAAAGGGTCACGTTTCTCCCACGTTGCCTTTCTCCATTAAAATCATCCATCTGGCCGTCGAGCCAGAGATCATCGATAGCAATTATCCCGCGCGGGATTGCATGCGCTTGAGTGTCTCCGGGTTACGTGGGGAGAAGAGGAAGCTACACCCTGTTTTGATCACAGTCCATCACAGCGACAATTATGGGCACTCGCTGTAGCTTTTAAAAATATTGTAGAGTCAGGAAAAAAAACAGACCATTGTACTTTAGCCAAAAAAAAAAAAAAAGTGTGTGTGTGTGTGTGTGTGTGTGTGTGTTGTTGAGCTTTAGTGGAAAATCTGCTCTCATGCCAACACGCTTGGGAAAGACGATTTCTGTAATACGACAATGTAAGCCTCGCTGTACAAATGGTCTTATGTGTGGCTGTGTGTGTGTTTGTGTGTGTGTGCGCGCGCGTTGGAAATGCCAGCAGAAAAGCCGCACGCCCGTGTGGGTGACTGATAAGAGACGGACGGCAATACGCCTTCCACGGAAAACTTTTCTTCTTTGAACGTCATCCGCCGGCTCCAATCGCAGCCACGTTACAAATCCAAGTCAGGCCGTCTCCGTCACCAAAACGGCGTCGCGCCAAAGTGCGGCCTATGGCGACCATTTGCGCCAAAAGGGAGACACGGACACAAGCAGATTGCTTTCAGAACGTTGCAAATGGTCAAATGGTGGTTGGCTTCCCTGCCGTGTTTCAAGGGAACACGAGGGGGTTGAGGGCTTCGGGTTCCTGTTATCCGACGACATGCTGTACTTGGGTATGAGGGAGCCCGAGTGTGCAAAGCGATTTGTTCGCTTTTCTACAAGAACACTCAAGTTCAATAGAGGTTTGATGTAAAAAAAGACAGACATTCTTAAAAAAAAAAAATCAAAGTAATTTCAAGTGCATTTTAGCTTCCTCCACTTGGGAAAATGTGGGTGTTCTCATCACTACAATCATTCGTGTCAATGCAAGAGATGTAGTGAGATGTGAAAAATACTCCATTGACTTAAGGCGCAGAGGGAAAACGCTTTTGAATACACCATTGAAGTATTCCTCTGAGACTGCGCTTGGCTTGGGGTTTTTTTTTGTACGCCTTCTGTTCATTGACTCACTATATGGCAAAGGAAATACAGCGATCCCTCGCCACTTCGTGCTTCAAGTTTTGCGGCTTCAGCCCCCCCCCTATCCAAAAATGAATCCAACAAATGGAAAAAATATATCGCCATATCGGCAGCCATATTGTGGAAAGATGCGTTGTTTCCCGTTCATGCACGAATGAGGTTTCTGTGCATGCCGAACAAAGAGCTGACGTCACTCATAGCCTTGCCCCTTCAAAATAAGAGAGTTGCCTTCTTCGCCACCAACACAAGCCTCTTCGCCTCTCTCAGGAGGCAATGTTGAGGAATGTTAATTCATGTCGAAGGTTTTATCACGAAAGACTGAAGTAAATACGTGTACTGTTGTAATGTTTGTCGCAGCGATGTCAAGTCTAAATACCGTTTGCATCGTTGGAACATGCCGGTCCCTGCGATGTTTCTTGTTTGCCATAACGTCAGCGATCAAACAGACGACGATGTAAGTGGTCTGTTGTCAACCGCCTGCAGTGGCAGACCTTCACCAACAGAGGGGGGCGAACATACTGCGGAAGAGCCGTCAAATCCCGATTCGCGGCTAACTATGTGCAAACGTGACATCCACAGACAAACACAAAAATTCCTCGGGGGGAGGGGCAAATCCTACTTTGCGGTTTGTCGCTTTTCGCGGGGGGTCCGGTCTGGACATTGACAACAATTTTCGGCCAGGAAATCTGAGCTCCGCGCAACAATTTCATTCTCCTGGCTGCGCTTTGCATGGTCGGAGTCGGCATTGAATGACATTCCGAAGTCGGTCTCGTGTGATGTCGGTTGGGATTTGTGTCCTGGAAGTTCTCCCCAATTTCAATTTGGACTTCCGGTGTCTGCGCAAATGCCACTCACCCTGACGAGCATGTGAGGAAAGGGTCCTCGGGAGTTCTCGGGCACGTTGATGGGCGGGATGACCCAGTCTCTCTTCTGTCGCCTCAGCCCGTTCCCAAAGGGGCTTCTCGGGTGTTTGCGAGGAAATCGGATGACTCGGGGGAGGGAATCCAAGACTCTGGAGAGCATTTCTTCAATGCTGACCTGGAGAGAAACACAATCACATCGTGCCAAATCATTCCACTGACACGAGAGTTTAGCAATATCAAGCAACGGACAAGACTTATTTAGGAGAGGAAGAAAGCATTTGAAGTCACGTTTCGTCATATGTCACGAGGCCCACCGGCGTCAGTGGATGTTTAACGTGCCGCGCTCAAATTTTTTCAGGCCGACACCGTTATCGGGCGCACGTCTCCGTCCTTTGCGTCACCGCGAAAGCCAATAAACAATATGACATTTTCCTGTCAGGGTAGCATCAGATAAAAGGCATATTGATTCAATAGTGCTGCAATAACAAAGAGGCTGAGGATCGGAGGGGAGACAGCGCTTCATTTTGCTTTGTACTCTGCTGATGTTGATTCCTTTTCTCCCAAAAGTGGATCGACTCACTTCACTCGGTGCGAGCGTTGACGAATGATCAGTGCTTGGCGTCGTTGTCCGTGGATTAAATGACACTTTATTGTGATCTTAAAGGCCCGCATTCGAAAGGCACCACCCCCTTGCCCCCTGGCCCCGCACCCCGTTGCTCAGACTGCTCCCTGTGGCAAAAAGTTGTGTCCTCATCTGTTGAAATGAGGTTCCGAAAGACAGCAGCACGTTTTGTTTTTGGTTTTTGTCATCCGTGGCGCTTCCCCCCAACGTTGCTGTAATCCACCTAATCCTATTGTTGTCGTCTTTCAGAAGACACACGTGCACGCAAACTGGGAGAAGGGTCGTAACCTGACGCTCGGGAGAAATCCTTCAGCTCATCCCAACACCGTCTTTCGCGTACGTCGTCCATGGGCACACGCCACACGTACCAAACCCATCCTGTGCTCAAGCCGGCCGATGGGCCACCTGAGCAAACGAGGACCGTGCTAAAACGTCTGTAATAGCTCACGCATCTTGTGCGAGCAAACACTATCACGAGGCCCTCCCCTCGCCGCCTGCTGTCAGGAGAAACAGAATATGCAAGACGACTTGCTGGCGACGCCACGCAGCTCAGCTCGAAAGGCCAGACAATAATGCGCAGCGGTGTGAAAAACGTCTTTCCTCCTTCATGATTTATTTCTTTATTTTGGGGTATGTCACGCCGAAATGTTTCCCATCATCAGAAAAGAAATTATTTCTTAGCCAAAGTCAACAAGGCAAACACAAAATGCAGTTTTTCAATGAAGGAAAAAAAAAAAAAAGAAGAATCCCAACCGACATGGCCCAGTGCGAAAATGTGAAACAGTAAAATCAGGATCTAACGAGGAGGGGCCAGTCCTTTTTCCACACAGTAGCTTTGAATCTAAAGCCCCCACCGTATCACAATTTCAAGTTAGCCTCCGAAGTTGACTTGGGTTATCTTTGTCTGACCTTTGCAATCGCTTGATGATCTTCAACATTCAAGTTGTTGCGGTTCTGTTCCGTTGGTGACCAACAGGCGGTCTTAGAGGGCTTCTCCTCCAGCGTCGCACCTGTTGCTCATCGCGTCACGGGCTCTTTTCTTTTCCAAGGACTGCCACGCCGACCACCCGGCGCCGGATGTTTCTGTTTCTGTCATGGGTTTTTGTTTGTCACTTTGCTTTATCGTGGTTTTCAGCACTTGGTTTGGACTTCCGTCGTGGGTTTTTGTTTTTTTTGTGACTTCTTCTGTTGCTACTTTTTTTGCGTTGTTTCCCAACGGACGGCGATTGAGTCGTCAGCCAAGCGCATCTGTGCATCTGCAAGTGTTTTTGTCCACTTGTACGCAACACTGAGCGGGGACACAATGCCACGCACGCACGCACGCGTGCAAGTGTGAGTGGGTGGGTGCGTGCGTGCGGTTGTGCGCATATGCCATCCAGCCAGTTAGTGCGAAAATGCCACGCACACACGCACGCAAGTGTGAGTGGGTGGGTGCGTGCGTGAGGTTGTGCGCATATGCCATCCAGCCAGTTAGTGCGAAGGGCTTGAAAGAGCCAGAGGCTGGCAGGGGGAGCCGGGGACGCTCCCCCCCC